TGAAGATCATGAGGCAGCCATCCAGCATTGGAAAGTCGCCGTCTTTCCCCTCGGCGTCGTCTGCGGCTGGCTTGGGGGTCCCCATATGCTCCCCCTTGTTGGAGCCTCCGAATAAGAACCGCCTCATGAGGCTGCAGTCCTTGTATATTTGACGGTGAAGGCATAGTGCATGGCCCCTTTGAGCAGCTTCTCGAAGTGGTCCAGGGTGCCCTCGGCGGGCTTCCGACCCCACTTGCGATTGGCGGTGGCCAAGAGCGAGCCCTCGTGCCACTGCTTCTTCTTCTTCTTGTTGGGATGGTTGGAGGCGCCTTTGTCGGCGTCCTCGTCCCGCTTTGCCTTGCCCTTGAGGCGATCAAAGATCGCTCCGACCGCCTCCCCGCCCAAGGTGTGGCTGGTGGCGATATCGAGGAGCTCCTTGGTGGTTCGCGGGCTCTTATGTCCTAGCTTAAGGACCAGGGACTCGTAGGTGGTCCTAGACAGGAAAGCTCCTATGACGTCGGCGTCGGTGACGTTGGGCAACTCGTTGCACTACCGGGAGAAACGCCGGATGTACCCATGAAGGGTTTACCTGGACTTCTGTCGATAGTTTTTGAGATCCCAGGGGTTCCCAGGACGCGAGTATGTGCCCTGAAAGTTTCCCAGGAAGATCTCTTTTAGGTCCACCCAACTTTGGATTCGGTTGGGCGGAAGGTGTTCCAACCACGTTCGCGCCGAATCAGCCAGGAATAATGGAAGGTTGCGGATAATGAAATCATCATTATTTGCCCCACCGGCTTGGCAAGCAAGCCGATAATCCTCGAGCCATAGTTCTGGGTTCATTTTCCCAGAGTATTTCGAAATGTTGGTCGACGGTTGGTACCGCGGTGGGAAGACGGCGTTGAGGATGTGTCAGCCAAAGACCTGAGGTCCCAGCAAGTCAGGGCTCGGGCTTCTGTCCTCGCCGCTGTCGTAGCGTCCGCCACAACAAGGGTGGTAGCTGTGGCTAGCCCCCTCCCTCGCATCGCCATGGGCATGCCTATGAGCATCGAGGGTGTCACGCGTGTCATGGTTGCGGCCGAGACGCTCATGCACCGGGACCGCGAAGCGCGGCTTGCCGCCTTGCCGCGCCTGGTGGACTGACACGTACTTGTCAAGTCGCTCTAAGGGAGCGCGCTAGATGGCATCGAGCTCGCGTCGTCGGGACAACGAGCTCTCGGCCTGCTGTGTCATTGCACACTCGAGTAGTGTGCGAATCTCGCGATGAGCCCGATGATCCTTGGGCGTTGCGGGCCCCGGAAGCCCCCGAAGCAAGGACGTCGCAGCAGCGATGTTTTAGCTCACCCGGGTGAAGTGTGGGAGGGCTTTCATTGTCCTTGATGATCCTCTGATTCACGTCGTGGGCCATGGCGCGCGCACGCCTGCCGTCTCCGTGGAGCTCGATTTCTCTCTCGAGCTCCGCGCGTTCCTGCTCAAGCTGGAGTCGTGCTTCCTCGAGCTCTTGGTGCCGGGCCTTCAGCTGCTCCCCCTTGACCTCATCGTCGAGGTCGTTAGTTGGGGTAGCCTCTCCCTCACGGATGCTTTTGACATGTCCCTTGGGGTACTCGCCATGAAACATTCACGCGAGGGGTGATGGCTCCCCCTGTTGGAGTTAGAGTTGGAGGGCGACTCTGTTTCTTCCACGAGGAGGTCGTGGAAAAACTCCATGACATATTCGGTCATCCCCATGAGCTCGTCGTTCATAGGGGTTGGAGGCGTGCGTTGCGCCACAAGGTGGCGAACGGTCTCTACGGTGTTGCGGAGACCGGACGGGAGCACTATCGAGGCGCTCCGGATAAGGTATTCCGGGGAGAGCGGCTCTCCTCCTGCAAGCTGCATCATGATGTTGGCGAACAAGAAGGTGAGACGGCCTAGGTCCTCCCAGGGCGGTCAGGGTCCTAGGAAGGCATCGAGCTGGCGCTCTAACCTCCTGTAGTCGAAGCCGAGGAGCTGGTCGCTCCTGGAGGCGCGGGCCTTCGGTGCGTGTAGCTGCAGCTCCTCAAGCGCCTCGGCGATCATGTTGAGGCCGGTGGAGTGGAGAGGTTGGACGGTGGCGGGAGTCTGCACTAACTCTCCCTCCGTCGTGACGATGAAGTCCAGGTTCCCGAAACGCACGTGTGCGCCCGGGACCCAGCTGACGCCGTGACTTACCATCTGAGACCTGGTGTGGACGTCAAGACGCGCAAAAGGCTCCTACCTGGCGCGCCAACTGTCGGTGTTTTGAGTTACCACCGACGAGTAAATTTCTAGTATTGCGCGTCTGGCTCGGCTTAGAGAACACGAGATTTATACTAGTTCGGACAGAAAGTCTCTATACGTCCAGTTGATCGCTGCTGCTCATGTTACTAGCACTGAAAGTTTATAGTAGGGGTTATAAATGGATAAGAGAGGGAAAAGATCCCAAATCTCTGGTGAAAGGAGTGAACGGGTGCTGAGAGCTCGATCGCTGCTCAGCCGTGTGTTCGTGTTGTGTTCTTGTGTGTTTATCTCGTGTTATGATCTCATGCGGATCTTGATTGATCGCCCCCCTTCATGGGGCGCCATGCTTTCTCTTTTATAGGCCAAGGGAAAGCGCGGGTTACAACGGAGAGAAAGGAGAAGAACGAGAGAGAGAGAGAGAAAGGCTTCTAGGATCGTCGGGTCCTTCTTCTCCTTTACGCGGGCCCCGTCGACCCTGTAGATGTCAACAGGGATGGCTCTACGTCGCAGCCCTGTCCGTCACTGGCGCCATGCGCGGGCGTCATCTGCCGGTTATGGCGCTCCATTCCGTCCTAGCGGACGTCGTGGTGAGCTGACGCGCCTGTCAGCGTTCGTATGAGGGTTAGGCAGAACAGCACCGGCACGTCCGACGCTGTTCTTGATGTGAATCCTCATGTATGACCCATCATGGCCACGGGTTACGTCGTGGCGTGCTGGTCTCTTTCTTGGTGTCAGAGTTTTGACCCAGGCCCATACGTCTGGACCTGGAGTGATTGGCGGCGGTATGGGACCCCGTCGGGCGAGGCGGAGAGCAAACCCAAGGGTCGGGCAAGGCGGAGCCTGCTGCCTTGGGGTCGGGCGAGGCGGAGCGCAACGCCAAGGGTCGGGCGAGGCAGAGCCCGCGGCCTTGGGGTTAGGCAAGGCAGAGCCCGTGACCTCGGGGTCGGGCGAGGCAGAGCGTAAACCCAAGGGTCGGGCGAGGCGGAGGCCGCGGCCTTGGGGTTGGGCGAGGCGGAGCCCGCGGCCTTGGGGTCGGACGAGGCGGAGCCCGCGCACCTAGGAGTCGAGTGGAGCTATAGTCGCGCTCTTGACTGCTCAGATGAATTAATATTGATGACCATTAACTCATTTTCTTCGGATACCCTAGTATTGGTCTACGACACTACTAACATGTAAACACGTGGATCCACAATCAATCTAGACATACTAGATAGGCGCTGTGAGTCATATGGCTAATGAGTCGACTAGAGGGGGGTATACACACAGTGAGACACTTGACTCAGTAGTGACGACGCATGGGCATCGCCGTACATGACCGGTTTCCACACGCGCGTGGTGTGCCGCCATAGTACCCAGCCGCCCAGGCAAGAGACCAGCCGAGCCGACCCGACCCGCACGAACCCCCCGGCGCTGGGAGATAAAACGGGAGCATAACATAGTAGGAGAGCCTAACGCCCTGTTCGTTTACTTTTTAAGACCGACGAACAGCCGAGCGAACAGGGCGTAACAGAAAGGAAAGACGCGTGTCCTCCGAACCACTGACACCCTCCCCCACCTCTCTCGACCCCACCCGACACCGCGCGGACCCGGAGCCGCACGCGCCGCGCCGCGCCCTGCCCCAAACCGGCGCCGACGAGCCCCAGCGCCCAATGGCGGCGGCCTTCCTCGACCTGGAGGCCCGCGTGACATGATCCCTGCCCCCCCGAGGAGGGGAATATCCGCGCGCGCGCGCGCACCGCCGCACCACACCCCCAGCCAGAGCCCGCCCACACCCCCAATCCTCGCCTTCCCCACCGCAAATCCTTCTCGACTCCTCCTCCTCCGTCTCTCTTCTCTCCTCCTCCACCGCCTCGCGGGAATTGCCTGCTCGTGCTCGCGTGGCCCCGGATCGCCACCAGGTGCTCTATCTCTCTCGCGTGGATTCTCTGAATTGTTTCATGCTCATCAGTCGTTTTGTTTTGTTCTTCTTCCGCGTCTGTTCGTTCGTTCGTTTTGGCCCTTCCCCTTACTCCGGGGGAATTCAGGAGGGGTTGCTTCTGGTACCGGGTGGCAGTTCGAGATTTTGCGGGAGGGGGTGAGTCGAGATTCGTGGGAGTCGTGGCATGCGGTTCCGCAGCTCCGCTCGAGGTGCTCCAGCGAAGATTGCTGAAGCTCATTCCATGATTGTTTTTGGAGTCGGATCGCAGGCCTTTGATTTCAGCACTCGTGCGTTAGCCTTGCTTGGCCCTTGTCATGGAAAGTTGTTTTGTTCATCATGCATCAGCTTCGTTTCTTACGTATCTGGATTGTTGTTGGAATTTAGGTCATTATTTGTGATCAGTGAAGGCCCAACCTGTGTGGGATCAAAGGTGTGGGCTTTCCCTTCTCGACAGCAGATGACCTCTGCATTTGTTTTGTTTTTTTTAATCCTTTATTTTTGGCGGTCCTTGTTTTTTTGGAAAATCGTTGGAGAACTGGGTCTCCGGTAGAGGTAGGATTTTTCTGAGGTGCTATTGGATGGACTTCGTGTGCAAAATAAAGTACTCCTATATATGTGGTAATAACTGTGTGATTTTGTAACGGAGCTTCGTGTAGATCAGTTACCTGTGTGATGGAGATGCACACTTCACTTTTTTTCTGCCTTCCTTTAATGCATTAATGACTGTTTCTTTGCCCCCTTTCAACAGGAAGTGACTAATTGGTGGTGCGCATAGGACTTGCTGGATTTCAGTTGTCTGATATACTCAGGACTCAGTGCTGATCAAGTGAACCTATTCACTTCAACTTGGTTTCAGTCTCACACAAGTATGGCGCCCTCTGCCGCAGCCCCGGTCGGCTCTGAGGCTGAGGGGGCACCACGCATGGCCAAGTTCCTCTGCAGCTTTGGAGGCAGTATCCTTCCCCGACCACTCGATGGCTGTCTTCGATATGTTGGCGGTGAGACAAGGATTGTCATGTTGCCGCGTGACATATCATATGCCGACCTAGCTGCACGGATGAGAGAGCTCTACAAGGATGCTGACATCATCAAATACCAGCAACCTGATGAGGATCTGGATGCACTGGTCTCGGTTGTGAACGACGATGATGTGGTGAACATGATGGAGGAGTATGACAAGGTCATTGCCACAGGGGAGGCGTTCACTCGGCTCAGGATCTTCTTATTTTCTCAGCATTTGGATGATGATGCTGCATCAGTGGCTGTGCATTACAATGTAGACGAGCGGGAAACAGAGAGGAGGTATGTAGATGCGCTCAACAGCCTTGGTGATGTTAGATCACCTTCCTCCCCTGTATCTGTGGAGCAGCTTTTTGGCATTGGAGGCAATGATTCAGGAATTCCAGATTTTGCTGGCTTGAGACATTTGAATGTCCCTCGTCCATCACATAGTCAGAGGTATGGAGAGATGGATTCCCCTTGGAGCCCTGCATATGTCTCACCAGGCCAGTATGGAGTGCATGACCCAAGGGATTTTCCAATTTCACCATCATCTGCAAGGTTCCAAGTAGGAGCGGAGGATTTTGATGAGAGGATTCCTGACGACTTTGTAAGGCAGTCACCAAAATATCAGCATTATGAGGCCCAGTCACCATCACATATGGATAACTTAGTCTGGCTTCCACCTGGTGCTGTAATTCAGCAAAATGCAGGCTTTCCTGGTAATTTGAGCCGGTCCAACAATTTCTTGGATGGGAACAGTGGATGTGATCACTGCCGTTCACCATTCCAGAAGGGTCAAGGTTCAGTGAGTGATCCTATCTATATGAATCCTCGTTGGACTCGGCCAGTCCAACAACATTTTGACCAAGTAAGCATGATTAATGATTATCCAAGTCACCATGCTAGTTCTTGTTCAGATTACTGCCGCCCTGGTGAGCATTATGTGGGAGGTCAAGATGTTAGATTGGAAAATGGTGTTTATGTTAAAGAGCAAAATGGTGGTCATCCTCCCATGTTTTATAATGAGTCACATCCTCACGATAGAGTCTGGCATGCGCATACCAACCAAAGTCATCAGCGGTATGAAGATCCAAGGCTGCATCATCCTGCTAATGGTAGAGTGATCGAGCCATACATTGTCGATGCCAACTCTGTAAATTCAGCATTTGCACCAAACAAAGTATATGAAATGCATTCAGCATCTCTTGGTCGTTCTAGTCATGAAAGTCCTCACCATTTTCATGGTACCAGTGAGCTCATAAATGACACGTATCACAACCAACAAGTTGGAGGCAGTGGATCGTATGTGCAGCCAGCAGGGTTTGAAGAATCCCCTGGGCAGCATTACAACCACTCTTCGGCCTATGGTGCAGATTCCTTTTACCAAATTCAGCAGAATTTGCCACCCATTCAGTCTCTGAGGAGGAGAGCGAACAGCCCTGTTCACACTGCCTCACCATATGATTCCCCACACCTGCCAATGCCAAATGGGAGCATTAACACAAACTTTGTTAGAAATACAGGTGATGTCAGTCCCAGGATACCAGGTCTACCTGGATATGATCGAATGCCAAACCCATGGACTCCTCCCAATGGCAACATACCATATAGAGTTGTTGGGCATGATGTTCCTGCTGCCATGGAAAACACTAGTGCTTTTGGTCCTAGGTCTAATCCAACTGCTGCTCAGTATGTTCAGCCTTTTATTGCTCCTGAATCAATCCAGCATCAACCTGGAGGTCCATTGATTCATCCTGAAAGAGCATACCCTGAACCCATGCCGTCATCATATGCTGATAGCAAAGTAGCTGTTTCTGCATTGCCCCTCACTGATCAATTATCCAGGTTGGATACAAACACAATGAAGAAACTTGAAGGTCCAGATGATGTTAACCCTACTCGAAATGTGAATGAAGCAACTCCTTTGCATGCTGTGGATGAACCAAGTACCTTATCCCACCATGTTGGAGCTGTACATGAAGTTGATCCTAAGCAGGAGAAGCCAACTGAACATGAAAGCAGGCAAAAGCAACATGAAGCTGGGGCTACTGCACTGCAGGAATGTGGGGATATTTCAGAGGATAGGTTGAATTTCCTTCCCGAATTAATTGCCTCTGTTAAAAAGGCAGCACTGGAAGATGCTGCTGAGACACAAATAGCCCAACCAGATGCTAATGCTGCTGTTTCACCTGTTCCTGATGATGGCGATAATGGAAAGAAGTTAGATGAGGCAACTGCTGGTGTAAGTAATGCTTCAAGGTTGAGCATTTTAACTACTAAACTACCAAATGTTCTCCACTCAAATCCTTTTGTTTTGCAGAATACGGATGCAAATCAGGACTCTGATTTGCAAGGAAGCCTTGATCGGCAGAAGAGCTCCAAGATTGAGTCTACAACTGCTGAAGCTGAAGCTTTGTCAAAAGGACTACAGGTGTGTTTAGTGATCTCTTTTTGTGTAGTACTGTTTGAATTTTACCTTATGTTCCATTTATAATCTGTATGGATCATGCAGACTATAAAAAATGATGATTTGGAGGAAATTAGAGAGCTGGGTTCAGGTAATTATGGGACGGTCTATCATGGTAAATGGAGGGGATGTGATGTTGCCATTAAAAGAATAAAAGCCAGTTGCTTTGCTGGAAGACCATCTGAGAGAGAGCGTTTGGTATGTTTAATTTTCTTTGTTGATAGGTCCCCCAACTTGCTTGGGACTGAAAGGCTATGTTGTTGTTGTTGTTGTTGATAGGTCCCTCAAATTTTGATTTTGTGCTTTCAAATGTTTGCACTGACCTTACATTACTGGTTCATCAAAGTCCTTGGCAGTATTCTGAACAATATTTTGAGCTATTCAACTGGGCAGAGGAGAAAGTAAATTTGAACTTATGCTTCTGTGCAAAATGATTCTAGTTCAGCTTTATCTAATTTTTTGCAGATTGCGGATTTCTGGAAAGAAGCTCTGATCCTAAGCTCACTTCATCATCCAAATGTGGTTTCATTTTATGGTGTTGTTCGTGATGGTCCGGATGGAAGCTTAGCAACTGTTACTGAGTTTATGGTCAATGGATCTCTCAAACAGTTCCTGAGGAAAAAAGACAGGTACTGCATTTTTTAATTCAATAAATAAGAATCTATTTGATCTTTTATTTCTCCTTCATCAAACTCTAAAATAAAGCACTTGTGCAGGACAATAGATCGCCGGAAAAGAGTAATATTAGCCATGGATGCTGCATTTGGCATGGAGTATTTGCACGGGAAGAATATAGTCCATTTTGACCTGAAGTGTGAGAATCTACTGGTGAACATGAGGGATCCGCAGCGACCAATCTGCAAGGTTTGATCCCTTCCCCAGCCAACCAGCCTTTCCCTTTGCTGTTTTATCTTTCTGGGGAGTTCTTGTGGCAATGGTGGATATCTTCTCCTGACTTTTCCCAACTCAAATACTTTCTGATCAGATCGGTGATCTCGGACTATCAAAGGTTAAACAGCATACTTTGGTATCTGGTGGTGTTAGAGGAACCTTACCATGGATGGCACCAGAGCTTCTGAGTGGGAAAAGTAATATGGTGTCAGAGAAGGTAAGACTGCTTTGTGTTGTAAGTACATTTATTAGACCATATTAAACAATCCCCCACTTTTTTGTATTCTGACAAAAACTATTTTTATATGTAGATTGACGTCTATTCGTTTGGAATTGTCATGTGGGAGCTGCTTACTGGGGAAGAGCCATACTCTGATATGCGTGCTGCTGAAATTATTGGTAATGTCAAGTTCCCTATAGTAATGTTGAATGCTATGCCTTGATCTGTTATGACACTTTCCACCACATTCCGACCTTACGTTTTGGTATATCCTAGTTATAAATTTGTGGACTTCAGAACTGTGAACAGATGTTCAGTGAAAGTTATCTTCTAGGATTTACTTGCGTTTGGATTTGGATGCAGCTTTGAAAGAATAAATAAGGCCGAGCTAATAGAAAAGAAGGTGGTATGTATAGTGGACATATAAATGGGTCAGTTGCAATTCCCTAGATGTCTTGAGTAATGAAGGTGGGGACATATAATTAAATAGTGGACTTCAATACAAAGCCAGATTATGTAGTTGGTGCTGTACCTTGAATTGGGTTATTGCAGCTGCAATGATGATGAAGGTTCAAGGATATAACAATCTAAGTGTATGGTGTAGTTATGTAGTTGCACTTGCAGAACTTGTTTTCTTTTTTGGATTTTCCTGTGATAGCATGACTTTTTCTCCCTTTGCATTAGTAACGTTGGACAAGCCAATGACAAGTTGGTAGCTGTTGATTTGCCCTACATTGTGCTGCGTCATGTTCAGTAATCAGTACAGATCTAATACAGATAGGGGATTTATGTTGAGTTTTTGAATCTTAGTCATAAATATATCGCCGAGGCTTGTTGTTATTATGTCACAGAAGTGATTTGATTGCAATGCATTTTTCTAGGGGGCATTGTAAATGATTCCCTACGTCCTCAAATCCCTTCGTGGTGTGATCCTGAGTGGAAGGGGTTGATGGAAAGCTGTTGGTCCAGTGATCCAGCTGAGAGACCGTCCTTCACTGATATATCTCAAAGGTTGAGGAAAATGGCCGCTGCAATGAATGTGAAGTAAAGGTTTGGAAGCCATAAAGGGGTCATGTAAGTGTTCCCACATCCAATATAGTGATTACAAGAGGAAGGCAGAGTTCAAACTGGATTATTTTGAGTAAATATGTTTCAAATGTCTTGGCAGCATCTCAGTTTACCCTACTCCAAGTGATTATTTATCAAGTGCTTACTTCATGGAAGAAAATTTATGTCATGGAGATTCCAAAGCATGTTTAATGTGAGTCAGCTGTTGTGTTTGTTTATTCCTTGTATGACCCATTAGTAAAAACTGACGTTTCTGTTACCTGTTTCAGGATTTTTTTGTAATCCTGGAGTAACCCGGCTATCATTTGCCTTCTGTCGAAAACAAGTATGCTATATAGCGTATTGTCTTGATGGGAACTGTTGGACTGTAATGTAAATAAGTTTTGACCTGCTTCGTGTTGCTGGCACGTATTTGATGTGCAAAGTAATAGGGCACGATCAAAGCTGGACACAGTTATCCTTTTTCCCCATACAAATTGTGTCCTAGGAGAGATGGATCGGACACGACTAGAGCTATCCTTGTTCAGATTGTACATAGTCCAAAAATAATAGTATACTGTTTCCCCTGTATATATCATCACTTCCTATTTGAATGCCCATATATTTGCATCATCCTTGTTTCACCTCTCCATGTCTGGTTACAATATATTCGCCTGTTTTGTTGCGAAAGTTATCTTGTGGTTGTGCTCAACCCCCATTTATTTGGAGGTTAAGTAGAGTTGTTTTCCTGTTCAGTCCTAATCGATCAGGTGAAGTCACTGTCTATCGAAGGAGACCATGGAGCCACGGTATCACCTGCATGCCAATATGCCATTGTTGTGCTCCATTGTTGACCATTCTGGATGCAATTTGACTGATAATTTTAAAGAGTTTGTGGCAATATATAATTTTGTAGACATAATGGAGAAGGATGTTTAGGTAGCTCTGCTCCATGAATGTATGGGCAGTGTGATGCCTGTCGCGTCCAACATTCTGACTTTCTGAGATTTTCATTTGTTGGTGTCACTTACCTGCCAGATTTGTTCTCCTCTTTTATGTAGGAATATCTTATTACAGTTTGATTAACAAGGATAATTTCGCCACCCTGGTATATAATCGTGGCCTGGCAGGGCCAAAATTACACTGTAGCCTAGCTATTAGTAGTAGGTAACCTGTTTTGATCTGCATTATTGTTCAGAGTTCCTTGCACTTGTCTTCCCAATCAGACTCAGCTTAACTTGACCTTGCAGGGACTCTTTGTCGTTGACATCTATTAGAACCTGCTGTTCCTTTCCATTTTTACCAATACCAACACTATATTAATTATACACCAGTATCTGAGCTATGATAGGCCATGCATGGTTCATATGGGGAACTTTAGGGTAGACGTGCCTTTCTCCTGCCTGATCATCACTCACTGATTAGCCTAGCTAGCCTCGCAGGACCTGTCTAACAAAGAACAAAAGAACTCCAACTTGCTCAACAAACCGCACAATTAGCTGCTACTACTAACACTTAAATTATCTCAGCACCAAATTGCACTCAAAAGTCAAACACGTTAACAAATGACACGGGCCGCTATTCGCCTTCCTCCTTCGTTCTCTTCCCCGTGTTGCCTTGCGCTGATGCTGAATCGATCGATGAACCGGCTGGATTATTGATGAATAACTGAATGTTTTGTTCCTTGATGATATATATGCCTGTTTGTTGCCTGCCATTGTTTGTGCGCGTAGGTGACAAGTCAAAAGCTCCCCCCAGGACAGGGAAGAGGAGGTTGTGTGTCATTGTATATATGGCGAATCATTGCAGGACCGATGGATGGACAGTAGTCACAGTAGGTGCGGCACGGTTTGGCCTCTTGTTCAGAGCTCAGGGACACACCAGCTAGGCTAGTTAGGGTTCGTGCTGGAGTATACACTACAATAACAGATTAATGGATAGTTGATTAGCCATTTGATTGACTGAAATTAGTGATTACTCCGGTCTGTTTGTGTTCGCTTGCATTGCCAGGCCGGTCGGTATAAAGCAAAGTGATCTCACTCTTGCAGAATGAATTAAAATCTATGATGAAGGGTGATGCATCAGCTTAGCAGGTACGGGGAGCCGTCTGGATACTGGACATGAAACTTGATAGAAATGACAGCTGCAGAGGTGGGCAGCCAGGGCTTGCTTGCTTACCATCGCAACACGGTTCTCTGATGATCCCGTGTCATGACTTCATGAATCCTGAGTCATGGCTAGGCCTGGTTTTAATTAGATAGGGCCGGACTAGTTCTAGGAGTATTATGCATGGTAAGCTGTATCTTGTAGAGTAGCTAGCTAGTCTCCAGCTGATACTGGCAAATTATTCATCTTCATGATCGGTCTCCTTCGATTAATCTACCCGGTCTCGATATTCGCCGGTTTAAACAGCTTGAAAAAACATGCTAATACCACTGTCTTTACTCCAACATTTCTGGTACCCAGTCGGCAGTAACTCACAATTCAGAACAGGGATTTGAGAATGCTGATCCTGCAGATTTCCTCACTTCCCCTTGTCTGCTCCTGGTTCGTTCAGACTTTTTAAAAAATATATTATATATGTAAGTACTATAAAGGCTCCTGGTTCAGGGAGGTTTGATGAGATTCAGAAAACCTGGAATTGAATAGTGAGGCATAGGTTGGATCCGTTCCCTTGGTCGCTTCTGAAAAGACAGAATTCGACACGGTGGCGAGCTAGCTAGAGAGCCCTGCCAGGCTCTTCTGTGTCTGTGCTAGCTAGCTATGGTGATGCATGCAACAACCAGAGCCCAGAGGAATCTCCAGCCCCAATGCAATGCAAGTGAGATTTCTGATTTCTCCGTCCGGCCAGCACGGTTCCAGCCACCACCACCAACCACCCTTTCTGGGGGTGGGGGTGGCAGCGCGCGGCGGCCACCTCGCCATGCATCTGCTGATCTCCCTGCCGTCCTTTGCCACTCGCGTCACGCTGCATAAGGAAGCAGCCTCCGGAGAAGCAGTGGAATTAGGCGGTGTTTAATTCAGTGATTAAAATTTAGAAGATGTGTTGGGAGGATGTTGTACGGGGTGTTTGAATACTAATAAAAAAAATAAATTATATAATTTGTCAGTACTCCACGAGACAAATTTTCTAAGCCTAATTAATTCATCATTAGCACATGTTTATTGTAGCACCACATTATCAAATCATGGACTAATTAGGCTTAAAAATTCGTCTCACAAATTAGTCCCAAACTATGCAATTAGTTTCATAATTAGTCTATATTTAATACTCCATATATATACCTAAACATTCGATGGGACAACGACTAAAATTTAGGAGGCGCAACCAAACACCACCTTATTCAAGCTCTTGGGCAACCCCTGGCGTCAAGCAGCTTACTCTACCACTCCGCCCAGCACCAACAGGTGTCTGCAGCAACCATGTGAAGTAATCTGCTGCTCCCCTGTGTGAACGCACGATAGGAATAGACGGTACCGAAAAGGTTCCTTGCTGTGGTACTGTAGCCACAGCAGGAGCAGGCGTCGAACGGCTCTCCGCCCGCGATCTGTAGTCACAGCAGGGATAGACGCCAAAGTCAGCCCTATTGTCACATGTAATCACTGTAGCAACATGATAGCCCAACATGTCTGTGTACTAGGATTAGATGAGTAGAGTTGTATATATAGTTTGCCATTGTAACACAGTAAAGAGCGAGTTCAGTTTTACCGTCTCCTCTGTAGAGCTCCGGCCAATGCTGGTGCTTGTGCTATGCGTGTGCTCTGTTCTCCCTTCCTTCTTCTATATCTAGCCATAGTGTGTGGTCGCCAACGATAGTGTCGTGGTCGGCAACGCTGCTGAGTGGTTGGCTCACCCGTGCCGAAGATCCAGTGGGCCAACAAGTGGTATCAGAGCCGTACAAGCATCGTCGCCGGACTAATCGTTGGCGTTGACGGACGGTTTGGAGGTGGACGACAGCAGCGGCGCTGCTGTGGTTGCCCAGCCACAACAGGAGGGCGTTGTGCGCACGGTGCGGGAGGTCAGCGGCACCAGTTGGCTAACGCTGACTTGCACCAACTATGGCGAGTGGTCGGTGACCATGAAGGTCAAGCTCAAAGTCCGACGGCTCTGGAATGCTGTTGACAAGGGCACCGACAATGAAAAAGACGATATATCAGCGTTGGAGGCTATCCTCGCTGTTGTGCCAACGGAGTACAGGGAGTCGTTGGGGCAAAGAGCTCTGCTAAGGAGGCGTGGGATGCCATTGCGGCGATGCGCGTCGGTTCCGACCGCGCAAAGAAGGCGACGGCCCAGCTGCTGAAGCAGGAGTACGCCAACCTTAAGTTCAAGGATGGTGAGGCGGTAGAGGACTTCTTCCTCCGCCTGCAAATGCTCATCAGCAAGCTGAGGAGCCACGGCGTCACCATCGACGAAGAAGAGGCGGTCTCCAAGTACCTACACTTTGTGCTAGTGAAGTGCATCAGATTGCTCTCTCCATAAAGATGATGCTGAATTTATCCACCCTCACCATTGAGGATGTGACAGGCCGTCTACGGGTGGTGGACGAGCGCATGGAGTAGGCCACAACAACGAAGGACAGTAGCAAGATGCTGCTGACAGAGGAGGAGTGGGCTGCCTAGAGGAACTCCGGGGAAGCCTACTCCAGCCATTGTGGCGAAGGCAAGCGTCGTGGCAAGGCTTATTCGAGAGAAGAAGAAGAAGGTCAACCCCAACGCCTGCCGGCACTGTGGGAAGACGGGCCATTCGACAAAGGAGTGCCCAAATTGTAGGCATGAGAAGAAGGTTGAGGCTCATCTGGCGCAGGCTGATGACGACGTTCTGTGCACTGCATGACATTGAGGTCAAGGAGAAGGGAGATGTGATGGCGGTGGAAGGGTCTGGGAAGGCTCTAAAAGCTGTCTACCTCAATGAACCGTGCGCCCAAGTCCACCTCGGAAGTGTGGGTGGCGAGCAGGAGCAGCGGTGGTACCTGGACTCTGGCGCCAGCAACCACATGATGG